TCAGAAACCCCGTAGCTCTGCTGTTCTGGTCCTGGTGCCCCTCCCCTCTGTAGCGGCCCTCGCCTAGGTATTATGTGCGTCTCTCACTGACGGGGCTGGGAGTCCTGGGGGCTCGGCCAGTTCTGGACCTCCAGCACATCAGGCGCCCAGTAGATACTTCAGTGGATATAAGCTACACCTAAAATGTACATATCCCCTTCAACCTACTTTTTCAATCTGTATACTGAACCAATAATCCAAGAAGCTGGATGGACTACATGAAGAAGAACGCGGCATGAGGACTGGAGGAAGGCTCATTAACCACCTGTGATATGCACCTAACACAGCCTGGCTTGCTGAAAGTGAGGATGGCTTGAAGCACTTACTGATGAAGATCAAAGCCTTCAGTAGGGGTCACACCTCAACACAAAGAAAAAAATAAAACAAAAATCCTCACAACTGGACCAATACACCACATCACGGTAAATGGAGAAAAGATTGACGTTATCAGGGATTTCATTTTACCTGGATCCACACTCAACACTCTTGGAAGCAGCCATCAGGCGGGGGTCCTCAGATCAGAAGGAGTCACAGTGGCATCAGGGGACTTGCAGTCAGGGTAACAGGAGGTGCAGGTAAAGTTAGTGGATCCTGAGAGCAGCAGGTAACTGATTTGAAGTTTACAAAGCTCTCTGAAGATCCGAGATTTGCATTCACTTACCCAGCAAGTGTGGAACCCCTAACCCGCGCCAGGAGCTACAGCCGGCCGCTGTTTTGAAAGCCTGGTCCACGGAGGAGATACCCAAGCGCCCACACTACCGGGCCTGAGGATGCGGGGACCAAGACTCCGGGCTCTGGCTCACAAGGCACCTGCCTGGGCGAGCCGTGGACGGACAGCCTGAAGGGGCAGGTGCAAGGACGCAGCCTCCCAGGGTCGGGGCTCACGGCACCTGCTCCTGCTTGCGCACGCCAGCCCCAGAACCCAGACGCACGGCACAGCTGCACAGCCATACAGGGGCTCCCCGGAACTCACCTCAGGCCAGCCAGCCCCGAAGGACGGAGGTGACCCGGACTCAGGGCAGGGAGACAAGGTGAGGAGCACCAGAAGGTGGTTTGGAAAGTGGGGGCTGCGGGGAAACAGCTTGGGGACTGCAGGATTATCGCCGCGTGGCAGCCGCTCCCTGCCACTGTGCACTCAACCCTGGGCACAGGCTCCAGGGGTCTCCAGTGGGGCCACAGGTCTCTGGAGTCTGGGGGAAGGTCTGCGCCTTCTAAGACAAGGCGAGATCTTAATTTCACGGTGAAGTTAGGTCATTCTTTGCAGCTGTAATCCACAAATGAGACATGTTCAACAGAATTGGCTGTTGGTCTGTTAGGACCGACTTGGATTCCTGGGCCCAAGGTAATTTCTCCACTAACAGGGTGCATCACAATGACGCAGTGGCTGTGCCACCTGACACTGGGGACGAGTGCCGTCCGTGGCCACCAGCTGAACCCTCCTACCGTGAGGGTCAGGGCTCCCTGCTCTTTAGAAGGAAGCAAACTGGCCCACCTCCTGCATGGAGAGCCTCCCCTCCCGCCCCTCCCAGCCTGGCTCCCCCACGGAACCCCTGGCGCAGGATGGGAGCTCCAAGCCCCAAGCCGCTGCCTCCTGGTGCCCCACGTGCAGCACTGCCCTCCCCTCCCTATAGCCCTGCGACCTTGGCCTCAGGATCAGCTGCTAAGGGGGACGTGATGACAGCCCGACCTGGCTGCTTGGGGGACTGAGCCTGCATGGAAGGCCCCGGCCCCTGCTGTAACTTACAGCTTTGAGGAAGGAAACGTTGGAATCACAGCGCGTGGCTGGAAGGAGACTGTGGCAAACACATCCCCGGGGGAGACCCAAGCTAGCTGGCACGTGTTGGCCTGAACAAGTCATGCTGCCGGAGCCCCTCCCCACCAGTCACTCGACTCTCTCCTGTCCCACTGCCACCAGCCACGAGGGCCACTGTGTCCTCCCCAGGCCGCCCTCCAACCTCACAGCACCTGCCCCTTTGCCAACACCAGTGTCTGTGCTCGAGACCGAGTGACACGACGGCCTGCTCCTGTGCAGGAATAACAAGTCTGGGTCCTGGCTTGTTGATCATAGCCTGTCTCTGCAACCTGTGTGAGCCTCTTGGCTGCCTCTGCTGTCTCACAAAGGACATGGCAGAGGGCAGCCGGGCAGAAGTTTCAGCTCTGAGCTCATCTTCAGGGAGAGAATCGTTCCAGTGTCACTTCCCTGACTTCTCCCCTCATCGAGCGACAGCATGGGGCCACCGCTCCCCCGGAGCCGGGCCAACCTCGTGCCCTGGACTCTGGTGTCCTGGGGTGTTAACTGGCAACACTGTGACCCGTCACCTATGACTGGATCCTGGCTGTGCCCAAGACATTGGTGCAACTTCCCCCTCCCTGGCCTAGACTGGTGACAGTGTCCCCTCCCCAAGTCAGACAGCATGTGAGGGTCACAGAGAACACACAGCTCAGACTCACATCTGTTCCCAACTGCAACATAAGCCGAGTTTTTATTTCATTAAGTGGGGGGAGAGATTATGTGTATCTCCGAGTCATCCAGAATGACTGAAGACACACTGTTAGAACAGTCAGAGTTAACAGACGGGCAGGAGCCACCCACTGGAAATACACACCTGTTTCAGATACAGAAATCCAGGGCAAAGGCTTCTCCAACTATTTTTAGGATAAAATACCTGATCAGTTAAAAGGTGAAACAGAAAAGCACACCTATAGGATAAGCTTTGGCCTTGAAAGCCAGGTAAGCAGCAGTAAAGTGAAACAAGTGGAAAAACGCTGCTTTTATGTCTCTTCATCACACCACCTGCAGCATAGTGAACACCTTCCTGCTGATCTCCACAGCTACTTCCTTTCAGGTCTGTTGGCTGGAACCTCTGGACAGAACCATCTGGAAGGCAGGCTGCCTGCACAGGTGAAGAAAGCAAACCTTCCCAGCTGCTTGGCACGTGGACCTGGACTGCTGTTTAATGGCACCACACGGCTGCTCCGGGGTTTACCCGGGTACAGGCCTTTGCAGTCTCATAGGTACAATCCAGACACTCCACGCCACAGCCAGCTCCCAAGGAGGGACCAGAAGGGCCAAAGGCAGTGGCTGTTACGTGAGCAGAGGGAAAGCAAGAAGCCAGGTCACGCCTGCATGGCCAGCCAGGCGGTCTGATGGCTCAGGTGATCAACCGTCACCCAGGTAAGTTCAAGAGGACAGTGCTACGCTCACGTCACTCTCGAAGCTTAGTGCTAGGAGATGGCGCTACAAAAGCCACGGAAGACCCACTTCCAAACCACAACAGACCCTTTAAAGGAAAGGCGACACTGAACTTTCAAGATCAAAACTACACATGACAGAACTCGGTGGAGTCTGTCTGAAGTGGATTCTGGTGGAACTCTGATGCCCCAGTGGTGTGATTAAGACAGGGCTAATTTAAAGCCCTCCTTGAAAATGTAAGAGCATCCTGACCCGAGGATACAGAGATGCAACCTAAAACCACTGTGGCTGGAATGACCACTGCTGCCCCCACTGTCCAAGGGTTCTACATTTCTACTAGGAAAGACAGATCAAAGGCTTTGAATTACTGGGCAATCCTGAGATGTGTCCCAAGTCTGCTTCCGTTGTCCTGAACAGGGATGGCTCTTCCTTCCTCCCTCGACCTTACTTCTACATGTTTAAAATGAGTTTCCCTACACAAGGCCACCAATTAACACCAATCCCTGGAAGAGAGTTCAAAGGGTGCCTCCAGCATGACTGTTCGGGAAAGCTGGAGACGGGAAGAGCAGTGACCACGTGGGGTCACGACGCCCCAGGCACTCCCCAGCTCTGGGAGATGCTTTTGCACTCTTGGCAACCTGAGATCGGGCAGTCAGAAAGTACAGAAATACATCCTTCAGCTGAGGAAAAGAGTTTGTGCACTGATACATTTTAATAGCTTTGAGGCAATAAAGAAACTTCCACAAACCACCTTTAATTCACAATAGGCTTCACTAGTCCCCAGGGTATGACATTTAAGTTGGTGGTTATGGACAACCCCTTCCCTGACAAGCTATAAGGTGTTTCTGCGGAAGCAGCGCTGGTGGACGTGCTGAGTGAGCACCGGGCGGTGAACGCTGGTAACTCGTTCCCAGCGCCCATCATCCCACTACAGGCACAGGGGCTTCCTTGTGTTTTCAAAATTAACTAACTTCATTTCAATGCCCTGTCCTTTCTAATTAATGAGGAAGGATCACTAAGGTCAGATTGTACAACAAAAATAACAACTGGAAGGTACATAACAGGTGGTGCCTTATCCGGTCTTCAATGCAGTCTGTTTTCCTGTTTTGTGGTTTGTTTTCATAATTTTCTTACATGACACACATAAAAACAAGGTTGCCCCCTTTAAGTGCAGAGCAGAGGGGAAAATAGACACTGGTTTTCAAACAAAGAGCTTTTACAACAAAGGACAGACCTTCATTCAGAACCATCCGGTGAACAAACAAAAACCCCACTCAACTGATGGCGTGGGACCACATCCAGATCCACAGAGGAACAAGTCCTTCTGCTTTATTTACTAAAATACACCATCTACTGCTTTTGATTGGCCCTAACTCTAATTTCACCAAAATTTCCCCTTTTCTCATAATTTGTCCAGTACTGGGTCAGGCTGCATCTAATGGTGCTAGATCCAAAGGACCTGCATTTTAATGCTATACAACACGTTAAAAAAATGACAGAAGCTGCCTTGATTGCATTTTTTTTTGTTAGCCAACCCCCCCCCCCCAAACCACATCACATCGTGCAGGTAGTGCTGCAGTGACGTGTTCTGTGGTATCAAAAGCAGCAGAGACTCTGAATATAACCTGCTGCGATCATAAACACGAGGCTGAAGGAGGCATGTACATAAATCACATTTAGGCTCAAAGCACTGCAAGCTCTCGAGAAATACATACAAGTATATATAAAGTGCAAAACCAGCAACATGGACTGTACGCCCACGCGGATTTCAGTACTCCCACTCGTCGGACTTCAGGTCCAGATAGCTGAGGATGTTCTGGGCCAGTTTCACCGCCTGCTTCCTGGCGGCCTTGCACCGCTCTTCTCCCTGTGGGTCCACGGCATCCAGGGCCAGCAGCTGCTTGGTGAGGAGCTCCTCCAGGCGGATGTAGTTCTTGTCTGTGCGGTTCCCGTCAAATGAAAGCACCTCTCCCTGGATCTCTGACAAGTGGCCAAGGACGCTCCAGACGGCTTTGTGTGACGGGTGCTCCTCACACACAAAGAGCTTTCTTTTCTCCAGGGCTTCCTTCAAGTCGATGTACGTGATGAGTGTCTGCACCTCGATCACTGCCCTCCTCCGGGCCTCCCGGATGCAGGGGTTCTTCTCTAGGCTCACCTCGTCTAGCTGGCCGATCAGGCCCTGAAGCTCGGTCTTGCAGCTCAGGTACAACTCGGGAGGATTTGGTGCTTGGAGGAGTTCGTTTTTTATCTCCCTCATCCTCTTGAGGACTTTCTCGATTTTTAGGATGGAATGGTTCTGTCCCAAGTCAAATGCGTGCGTAGTGTCGGCCTCCTCTTCTAAATCCAGATACTTCAATAATTTGTTGATGTCTTCTACGACCTCTTTCCGGTAGTTGCGGATTTCTGCCCGCCCGCACACGTCCAAAGCATCCAGATCGGCCATCATCCCCGAGAGCACGCACGACAGGTGCCTGCAGGTCTCGTCACTGTTCACGCCCATGAGGAGTGCGATCAGGGTGCCCCTGGCCTTGTTCACCTCGCACATCACAGTGTTGATCTTGGCCACGGAGGGGTGTGCATCCTCAGAGAGCGGCAGGGATGGCTGCCTCTTCACGCAGTCTTCGATGATCTCTTGGACGGCACAGATTCTGGTCAAGGTGTGGTACCTTGCCTTCCGCAGGGAGACCTTCCCTCCGGTTTTAACGTGGGTTAGTCTCAGAATGACATCCTGGATGCCTTCCTCAAACTCCTCGGTGACACAGCTGCCCCCACTGTAGAAGGGCACAATCTTCTCCTCCACGAGAGCCTGGGCCTCCTTGAAGATGTTCTGGATCTCCAGCCGGTGCGGGTGGTTTGCATTCTGCTCCAGTTCTTTGAGAAGACGCTCCGTGTCCTGGGCTGCCCTCTTCCGAGCCTGCTGAACATCTCCCCTTCCTTCCGTGTCCACAGAGTCTATCTCAAAGAGCTGCTTGGTCAGAACCCGCTCCAGCCTCTTGTAGCTCTTGTCATCGGCCAGGCCGCTGAAGCCGGTCACTTGCTGCTCTATGCTCTTCACCTCCTTCTGGATCTCCTGAAGCCTACTAATAGAAGGGTGTTGGTTTCCCATATCCATACTGTGGCTGGGTTCAGTTTCACAAGCACTAAAGGGTGACAAGAAGGACAACTTATTACAGCACCAAGTCTCTAAGAATGGCAATTGCATACTAGTTAAAAGACATACTTAAAAAGAGGGTTTTTCCTGACTACAACCCCAAAGACAGTTATACTCAAGGACAGGAGGCAGGGTGACCTAGCACCTCCTTCCCCGAGCTGGCAGTGACTAGGAAGACAGTGGTGACTGCAGTGTCCAAGAGGAGCTCAGGGCCTGTGGATTTTGTGTTTTTTCCACAGTAGAAGCCAGCAGCCTATGTCTGCCTGCGTAAAAACTACAGCATGAAGCTGAACTACCAGCATGGAACAGCACACAGATTGTAGGATTTAACAGCGGACCCAGCAGGGCCCAGTGTGGAATGCAGAGCAGAGAAAGTCAATTAGCCTCTCTTCCCACCTTGCAAACACTAAGGAGCTAAGCACCCAGCCCTCCTAACTGCCCTCTAGTTCCCAGAAAAGAAACCAGGCCCCTCGATAAGCCCAGAGGCCCCGTTCCCACGCTGCCCCCCGCTTTACGCCCTTCTCCAAGCCCTCACCTTCTCCTGCCGTTTAGTCCCTCACACACCTTCCTGCAGGGTGTCTCCCTGCAGAAGGATGCCATTCCATGGGGGAAAGAACGATTGGGATCAGGTTCAGGGCAACACTCTGGGTTTTGGAGCACCAGTACCTGCCCCCCAAATCAAAACGCAAACCAACCCTACTGCTATGAGTCAATTCCAACTCACAGCAACCCTACAGAACACAGAACAGCTGCCCGAGGAGGTCTCCGAGACTGGAAACCTTTGAGGAAGCAGACTGCCCCATCGTTTTCCCGCTGAGCGCCCGGTAGATTCGAACAGCTGACCTTCTGGGTGGCAGCCGAGCACTTCAACCACTGCGCCACCAGGGCTCCTGCCCCCCCCCC